TTTCATGTCTAAGGCGGGACTAGAACTCTCCGTCACCTGGTGATTGGATCTCCCAGCCAGCATTTGTGTCTTAAGGCACGACCTGAACACAGTCTCCTGCTTTCTAGACTGGTGCTTTAACCACTAGATCGAAACTGGCTCTCTATCAGATATCAAATATCTGGGTATCCCAACTCCCATCGTTCCCAACCAATGCATTGCAACTCCAAAACTTAAAATTCCCAACTTTACCTGGAACTTACACTTCAAAACATAAGACAGGGAGTCCCAGATTTGTGAAGCAAGACCCCACCTGACTCTGCCCCCCCCACCCCAAAAAATCCATAAACAAATACAAGTGAAAAAAAAATGGCATGAAATACAACTGTCAATCAGTGAAAAGTTTTTTTTTTTTTTTTAAAGACTTAAATGGCTACAAGAGGAAAAGTTTGCATGGATTTTAATTTTTCTGGCCCACAAGCCCACTTCATTAGGAGGAAGGTTGGAAGTTTTTTTTTAAAAAATCCCAAATATTAGGGAAGCGTAAAGACCCACACAAACACTTGTGTGCACGCAGGTGACCTACAGTAAAAGAGACTTTGCACATCTGTGTTTGTCATTCCGGATGTTTGTTATTGCAGCTGCAAACGTGGAGAAAAAAAAGTGGGGGGGATTTGAATCAATTTCCTCTTGCGGGAATTGGCTGCGATTTATGGGCAACGCTTTTAGAGGGAAGCTGTAAATAAGGATAACAGCAGGGAGCACAGATAAAGCCAAAAGAGAGAAATTTCGCTTTCTCTTGTTGGAAGAAAAATATCCTTCTGGGTTCAATTCCAAGCGGGGGAAAAAGACCCTGGAAACATGGAGGCTGTTTGGAAGGTGTTAGATCTGGGGTGGATCGGTTCGAAGGAGACGCGAGACCAGTCTAGTGAGTTCAGCTCTTTATTCAGGTTAAGAACAGTCTGAAGAAACACAAGCCGCGGCAGCCTTCATATAGGGCTGGCTCGCGGCTGGGCGGCCAATGGCAGCTCTTTGAATCTCCCGCGATCGGCACAGCCAATCGCGGCAGATTCCTAGCGCTCCAATCATGGCCGGGGTTTCGACCAATCAGGTCGCTGTCCGTCCGGACCAATCAGGTGCGAGGGTTTGGAGTATGCTAATATAGCACAGAAGGTTTAATGGTGGACAGGTTTGGACACATGGCTTGAAGCTCCAAAGTGAAAAGGATGATCCCGTGCTTCAAGATGAAGGAAAAGATCAAGAAAGAGGCTGAGATGCTGAGAGTACCTGGGTTTTATAACCTTTGTTGGGATTCGAATTGGAGCTTGTATTCTGATTGGTTGTCAGACTCCCAGGGGCAACTCTGTAGCCTGTCCTGAGTTCCAGGCTTGGTTGAGCCTTGCTGGATGATGGTGCGCTGAAAAGGGCTTTTGAGCAATTGCTATAGCTCTACCTGGAGATCTTTGTTATGTAAAGTATTCTGGCCCAGGCCTTCATGGCCCACCCATTAACAAAGGTGGGGTTAAGTTTCTGCTTCTGAGTTTCTACTCTTTTTAGAGGAAATATTCTGCCTTTTTAATATTTCCCAGGATATTTCAATTTTCTAGGAGGAGGGGTGGGTGCTAATTTCCCAAACTCTGGTTAAAATAAAATAAAATAAAGAGTTGTGATTTTTCCAACTTAGCCTCGACTAACAGATTTCCGATGAGTTCTCCAGAACTCATCAAATTTGCAGATGACACCGATAGGCTTAAGATACAGAAGGATCTTGAGAGATTTAAGCGTTGGGCCCCTTTTAACAAAACGAAATTAAATGGTGAGAAAAGTAAGGTTCTACTGTCAGGGTTCCAACCAATCCGCCTTCATTCAAAACAAAAGTCTTCTAGCCGCGTCTTAGAAAAAGTAAATTGGTTTATTAGAAATGGCCATGTTGGCGCGTGGCTGGGTGCAGCCAGTACTAAATCACATCATACGTTCCACTCCATGGATGTGACTTCTCCAATAGGACACAACAGTCTCCCAAAGTCATCCATCATGCTCTCCATTAACCTTCTTATGCTCCAACAATTTTGGGCTGCCGAGTTGATTATCTAGGCATTTCAAGAATGCCTTGTTTTTCCCCCACTCCCTTTTTCTGGCAGCTAAAAAGACCAATCTTTTTTAGTTGACATCTACATTTAGGCAAGAAAAACCAAAGGCGCAGGTACAACACAGGTGGTACCTGGCTCAATAGTAGCAACTGCGAGAGGGATCTTGGAGTCCTCGTAGACAATCATTTCACTATGAGCCAGTTGTGCGTAGCAGCTGCCAAAAAAAGCCAGTGCAGTCCTAGGTTGCATTAATAGAGATCGAATCAAGACCGCAATGAAGTGTTAATCCCACTCTATCATGCCATAGTAAGACCACGCTTAGAATATTGTGTGGGGAGAAATATCCATCTGGTTCAGTTGCAAGACGGGAGAAAGACACCGGAAACAAGGAGGGTGATTGGAAAAATGGTTTGATGATGAACAGTACCACATGGGTTAGTGGTTCTGGGCAGCTGACCACATGGAGTGGAGAATGGAGGGGGGAGTTATACTTTCTTTGGGCTTTGCACTTGAGCTTCCTGTTCCTGTGCAAGAACATGTATCCTACTGGCTGTTGTCAGATACCTATGTGGGGCCATGTAGGGGTCAAAGCTGGCTCTAGAGGCAAAAGAGGACATGTGAATCCTAGGTATTTGTCTGAGCTAAGTTTGGTTGAAGTTTGGACTGTTCCGATGCAATGAAGGGGCTTGTGTTCTGAAAGGGTGTTGGGCAATTCCTATTGTGGCTAAATGGCTTTCACCCTGTTTTGGATCTTGAGTGAGGGGCTAATTCTACCAAGTTCAGACTTTGCAGCAGGGAATTTCAAAATACCCTGTCTTGAATGGATTACCAAATCTGCATTTCTAAAAGCTGGCTTCCTCAGTTTCTGCTTGAGGGGCAGGGAGATTGGGGCTGCTTCCTGCCTCTAAAAAAAAGAACATGTTTCTCCATTTCTCATTTAGGGCAATAGAATATTCTGCCTTATTCCTCAAAATATTCCATTCTTCTAGGAGAAGGGTGGGTGGGTGGGTGCTGGCTTTCTATAAGTGCATCCAATTTTGGCCACCACGATATTAAAAAAAAAAAAAGATGTTGAGACTCTGGAAAAGAGCGCTAAGAAGTTTTTAAGCGTTTCTTTCAAATATCTCTGTCCCTCACGGTCAAGATGCAGTGGCTCCTCATGTTCCTGCTACCTGGGCTCATCGTCCCTGCAAGTTCCGCTTGGACCAGCGAAGGTAGGACTTGTGGGAAGCTCAATTATTTGCTTTGCGTTTTTATTTTTATATTTTACATTATATTTTATTTTATTATGTTGTCATTATTTTCTTGCTTGGGAAAACAAAAAATAGTGAAGCCTCATGAGAACTAGCACCTTGATTTGCATGGTACACTTGGTCAAAGTCTCCGTGCTTCCATCTCACTTAAAGCAAGAGAGCCAAATCTCTAGATCTAAAATGATTGATTGGGGGAAAAAAATCCTTAGTACTTCTAAACACGACACCTGAGAAGGAATCTGGGCCTGCAGCTTGGATGTTGTTAGATGGTTCCTCCTTGCCCCCTCCCCTCTCATTTCTCTCTCTCTCCCCCCCTCTCTCAATCTCTCCCTCCCTCTCTCTCTCTCTCTCTCACACACACACACATTTTCTCTTTCTCTATCTTGTTTTTTTCTGTCTTATTTTCTGATTTTCTCTTTCTCTCTTTTTTCTCCCTCCCATTTTCTCTCTCTCTCTCTCTCTCAATCTCTCTCTCTCCCCCCCTCTCTCTCTCATACACACACACACACACACACACATTTTCTCTTTATTTATTTTATTTTGTCAAGCGATGATTAGATAACAGGTAAACATGGTTATGAATACATAAAATGGATATGAATAAGAAAAAAAAAGAAAAGAAATAATAGGACAGGGACGGTAGGCATGTTAGTGCGCTTAAGCACGCCCCCTAAAAACAACTTTGCGTTGGCCGGGAATCGAACCCGGGTCAACTGCTTGGAAGGCAGCTATGCTAACCACTATACCACCAACGCTACTTTAATGCTACTTCTTTCTCTCTCTCTCTCATTTTCTCTCCCTCCCATTCTCTCTCTCTCTCTCTCTCTCTCTCTCTCTCTCTCTCACACACACACACATTTTCTCTTTCTCTCTCTCTTTTTCTTTCTCCCTCATTTTCTCTGATTTTCTCTTTCTCTTTCTTTTTTCTCTCTCTCTCTCTCTCATTTTCTCTCTCTCTCTCTCTCTCACACACACACACATTTTCTCTTTCTCTCTATCTCATTTTCTTTCTCTCTCCCTCATTTTCTCTGATTTTCTCTTTCTCTTCTCTCTCTCTCTCATTTTCTCTCTCATTCTCTCTCTCTCTCTCTCTCTCTCTCTCTCTCACACACACACACACATTTTCTTTCTCTCTCTCTTTTTCTTTCTCCCTCATTTTCTCTGATTTTCTCTTTCTCTTCTCTCTCTCTCTCATTTTCTCTCTCTCATTTTCTCTCTCTCTCTCTCACACACACACATTTTCTCTTTCTCTCTCTTTTTCTTTCTCCCTCATTTTCTCTGATTTTCTCTTTCTTTTCTCTCTCTCTCTCTCTCTCATTTTCTCTCTCTCTCTCTCTCACACACACACATTTTCTCTTTCTCTCTCTTTTTTTCTTTCTCCCTCATTTTCTCTGATTTTCTCTTTCTTTTTCTCTCTCTCTCTCTCATTTTCTCTCTCTCATTTTCTCTCTCTCTCTCTCTCACACACACACACATTTTCTTCCTCTCTCTCTTTTTCTTTCTCCCTCATTTTCTGATTATCTCTTTCTCTTTCTTTTCTCTCTCTCTCATTTTCTCTCTCTCATTCTCTCTCTCTCTCTCTCACACACACACACACATTTTCTCTTTCTCTCTCTCTTTTTCTTTCTCCCTCATTTTCTCTGATTTTCTCTTTCTTTTTCTCTCTCTCTCTCTCATTTTCTCTCTCTCATTTTCTCTCTCTCTCTCTCTGAGAGAGAGGGGGGGGCAGGGGCTGGGGAATTCTGGGAGTTGAAGTCCACACATTTTAAAGTGGCCAGTTTTGAAAAGCATTGCTTTTAGAAAGGTTTTTAGGATTTATACCAGGGGCCTTCAAACTTGACAGCTTTTAAGACTTGTGGACTTCAACTCCCAGAATTCCTCCTCCAGTCATGTTAGCTCAGGAATTCTGGGAGTTGGAAGCCCACAAGTCTTAACCCTTGCCAAGTTTGAAGACCCTTGATTTGTACCATGGTTAAGCAAACCATAGTTCAGGATAACCCAGGCTATTGCTATGCTAAATGCAGAATGCAAATGTTTCCCTCCCACCTCAACCATGGTTGCTTCTGGACCGCAGCAGAGCCCATCGACCGCCTGTATGCCCGACTCGGGGCCACCACCGTGGTCTTGTCTTGCCCTGTACCTGAAGGCGGATCCCAGGTGGTATGGAAAAACCACGTGACCCCGGAGACCGTTTTGAACGGGGTGCAGAAAGATGGCAGCCTCATCTTGCGGAATGCCAGTTCGGCCCAGGAAGGGGAATACAGCTGCCAGGATGCCAGCACTGGGCAGACCCTGGGAAGGATTCACCTCCGGCTGGGCTGTGAGTGAGAATAGCAAGCCCCAAAGCCTCCCTTACCCAAATGGAGCCATCCGAGACTATGATGCTGCAATTCCTTCCTTCCTTCCTTCCTTCCTTCCTTCCTTCCTTCCTTCCTTCCTTCCTTCCTTCCTTCCTTCCTTCCTCCCTCCCTCCCTCCCTCCCTCCCTCCCTCCCTTCCTTTCCTTCATTTCTCCCACTTTTCCCTTCCTTCTTGTCTCCCTCTTTTCTTTCCTGCCTTCCCTTCTCTCTCTTTTCTTCATTCCTTCCTTCTTTCCTTCTTCCCTCCCTCCCATTTCTTTTCCCTTCTTCCATCCCTTCCTTCCTTCCCTTTCTCCCATCTGTCTGCTTTCCTTCCTTCTTCCTTCCTTTCCTTCTTCTATTCCTGCCTCCCTTTCTATTCTCCCTCCCTTCTTTCCATCTTTCCTCTTTCTTTCTCTTTCCTTCCTCCCTTGTTCCTCTTTTTCCTTCTTTCCTTCCTTCCCTCTTTCTCCCATCTGTCTGC